GAGAGAGAAAGGATTCATGATGAACTCATCTCTCTTTTTAATTGGAAGTGTACCAACTCAAGAGATTACTAATCCAGACTATAATCATATTATTAGGGTTTTTTTTTTCCTGATTCAGGCCTGTGTTAATGGTACAGTATTTATTCAGGATGGGATTCTTAAATGACTAACAAACATGTTGAAAGTTTGAATACCTCCACACCAGCCTAAAAATGGACCTTAAGTTCCTAGAACCTCTGATGTTCTTTTAAATTAATGGAAAATAATTTGTGAACTGTATATAGAGAGTGCATTCATAAATGTGATGATGTATTTTATCACTAATCCCAGATGTCGATATTAGAGTCTATTTTGCTTATATTTTAAGTGATTATAGTTTTTTGCAGTTCACTGATGGTGTATCATTTTCAAACTGCTTTAAATATCCATTAGAAACAAATATTTGAAGCTTTTATGTAAGAGTAATTACCTTGAACTGTGCATTTCTAGTTTGTAATACATATTTATTTAGTTTGTGCCTTTAGTTTCTTAAAGTTATATTTGTATTATATTCAGGAAATGCACTTTTTATCACTTACAGCTGTGGTTTTAATACTGCCTTGAACTATTACTGTTCTCTTTACCATTTCCAAAGTTTTTGGAAGGAAAGAGAAAAAAACCCAAAAGCTTAACACTAATGAGTAAGAAATGTAAGAGAAACATTTTGGCATTTCTCAATAAGAACATGGAGATACTGAGTACAGTACATTGCTTCCTGTTTGGCTGAACACAAAGAATGCCTTCATTGACTTGCAGTCCTAAACTTTCAGTTAATGACAGAACAATTCGTTTGCACTTCCTGCTGAAAGTAAAAGCATTTTAAAAAGAAACATATGAATTTCCCATACCCAACAGACAGGTGCTGGCACTGGCACTCCACAGCCACACCCCATTTAAGTCAGTCAGAGTGAGACCGCAGAGGTTGGCTCTCCTGTGAAGAACATTCTGGGCTGGAGGCAGGGAATACTCTGTGCTTGTTTCTTTTTCCTAGTTAGGCCTATTTTATTTGTGCTTCTGTTGTTATGTTTTGTTTTCACTCTTGCACTACAGTCTAGAGAGCCAAATGAGCTGAAAAGTTCACAGTGTAACAGACATTTAAATACATTTATTTTTAGTTGTCATTCTAATCATTATTGATTAGAAGCATGACACCTGAAAGAGATATAAAGCCCAATTTTTAGCAAAACACCATATAAATAGGCATATATTTTATTTTTAACCCAGCAAAATAATGTAGAAAATAAATGTGTCCTTTACCGTCAATTTACCTAGAAGATCTATAATATAGAGACTATATATATATATATATATATATAATATAATATATATGGCATAGCCAAATGTATTAAAACTTGACGATGTATAATTTGGAATTCACATGCTAACTATATAGAGAGGTATAAAATTAAATTATAATTTCATATGATTTTTCTTTTTTATCACTGTTGGCCCAGTTTCAAGTATTCTATCATGTTATTTCTCCTTTTTCCTTGTTTCTTTCTTCCTTTTCAAAAAAATAATATGTTTTTAACCAGACCAGGCCCCACTGTAATATTACCTAAGAGAGTCAGGACAAAGGTTTTGCATTTATGCAGATATGTTCCTATAAGGGCAATTGTAGTGGAGTTCAGTGGTGATGGAAGCAAAAGTACGGTAATCAGGTATTGAAATAAACTGTACACAGATTAGAGTATATTATAGACTCTGGAAAACAGAAGGCTACAGATTGGATGCAACCTTCTTGTTTTCTCAGAGAACCTCACATACACATAGCCGACCTGACCAGTACTTCAGATCTGGGACTGCTCTTCCACAGCCTTCTGTAAGGTTCTTTATTCTGCAAAACAAAGCAAACAAACAACAAACAAAAAAAAAAAAACAAAAAAAAACACAAAATCACAAAAACAAAAAAAAACAAAAAACACAAAAAAACAAAACAAAAAAAACCCAGAAAACAACAAGCAACAAAAAAGAATTCAACCACAAAATAGTGACTGTTATTTCAGTGTGTCCTTCATGCGAAAGCTACCAAGGACCAAACATACTACTGTGTGTAAGAAGAAATTACTTCCTAAACAGTAAGTGAAAATAGTTAGAGTTAAACTTGCTGTGGATTTTGTCTTGGCAGTTGTCATCTTACATTATTTGTCAAAGGAAATGTGTTTGGCAGTTAAAAATCCTTCCTTAGATTTAGTGGTGGACTTTAACCTCTTAAATAAATGTTAGTATATCAGATTGTGTCCTTGAAAAATATTTTACTTGTATGAATCATGACAATGTCTAAACCTTTACTATTCTTCTGGCAAAGCATCAGTAAGAGAAAAGGTGAAAAGGAGAAGTATAGCCTTTACGTCAGAAAAATATTCTTTTTAGCTGCTTACTTTCTCATGAAAAGTAAAGATGTTTACAGTGTATGCCAAGATTTTCAGTTTCTATATAACAGCAGTTAGAGGTTCTAATCATACTGAAAATTGTGTTATAATGGCCTGAGCCGTGTTGCTAGGAGACGATAGGTTCCAATTTTGTATTCCTGCTCTCACTCCTGTGCTGAAAAGTGAGTGGATACTGTACAGGTTCATGTTCTCTGGCTGCAGTTAAATGGTCTTTTGCATTTTGCTCTGGTTTTCAGGCCAGAAGCATGCATTTTTCTACAAGAGCATCACAACAACATGCTGTAAATATTTAAGGTTCAACATTATGTGTCGATATTTGGAAAAAAAGTACTTTGAATATTTCGTTTTTAAAAAATAAAATTGCAAATGAACACTATGTCCCATTTTATTCACGCGCCAAACAGCCTCTCCAGTCAGGCTGGTCACCTGAGATATGAAAAGTGGCTCCCTAACAGGGAACAATAAACCTGCATTATCTTGAAAATGTAGGTGCAGAAATCAAAAAGGTACTAATCCTAAGCAGACATCTCTTCATTTTTATTTTTCATACAAATAGAATCTCTGACACAAATGACCATTTAATACAAAGAAAATAGTAGCTGTTGAAAGTTTAAATGCCTCTAGGCTATGATTTTTTTTAAGGTTTCTCTCCTTTTGATGCCTTTCTGGGCACTAGAAAGAAAATAAAGAATTGTAAGAGTGGGTGGGGTAGAGTTAGGAGAGCAGAGAACCCAAATGCATTGGCAAAAAAAGAATGGCCGTAGAGGCATTCAGAAACAGCAGCTCTTCTGAGGCCCTAGGACCTGACCAATCACAGTGGCCATTGGCCCTTACTTTTTCACAAGACCTTTATGAATGACACTGGGAAAGCTAGCTAACAAATCTTCCAAAATGCAACTTAATAATAATGGGGCATTATAGTCCAAACAGCCAGTTCCTGAAACTGGCTTGGGATCCTGGAATTTATTCTAGGAACAGTCCTGCTGCCTGCTACTCACACACTGGTATGTACACACATCTAGTGAAAACATCCAGGAAATGAAACACACTCCTGATTGTCTCAGCACAACCCACGTGCAAAATGCAACACGGGGTGTGGGTGGGGGTTGATATTAGTATCATCTAGAGTTTTTAATTTTTCACAATATGCATTTCACCCTCAGAGTGCAAGCAGTAAAAGAGGGAATTATTCGAAAGTTAAGTGATTTCTCCGTATCACTTCCCCATTCACCCTCACTTTGAGAGGTCTTTGAATGTCAATATTATTTAAACCTATAGTGATAGTACTACCTTAAATGGAAATAATTGTAGCACCTCTATAATCCTGTGAGTTAAGCAAGACTTAATTGTTCCTACATGGCAAATGCAATAATAGTAACAGACTGCCTTAAGGTCACGTGGATAATAATCAGTGACAATGCTGAAAAGAAAATTCAAGTCTCATCTGTTATGTTGATGGGCTCTCTCCAGTTGATCAGGTTTATGATATCTTTCTTTATAAAAATGTTCATTTCTAAAGCCAAATGACCTAATGATGAACATTCAGCCTTTTACTACAAGTTTGGCCAATGATCCCAAATTATGAAAGTGTCCAAACTGGGTAGTTTAACTTCGCCTCTAGCTGCAGATTGCAAAATAATGATATCCCATTTACTGCAAGGGCAAACATAGGCAACAAAGTTGAATTTATTGTCCACTAACAGAAAGATTAGGCACCTTGTAACCTTGAAATGCTCAAGGGCAAATCTGGGTTTTATTATTTATAGACTCCGGAGCCTGAACTCCAAGTGAATCTCATAAAACATAAGGTGATGTCTAAACATTTTTAACAGATTTTAAACTTACTCTCACACTTCAAATTCTCTATCCTTTCTACAACATGTATCTTAAATCCAGCCCTCTATTTATACCAGAACACTTAATCAGAGGCATTCTCTATAGACTCACTGTACCCATGTGCTGCTACCACCAGGGTTCCCTGCCTATAATAGCCAAACTGACAATTACCTAAGCTGGTCTCCCTACCGACCTTATCTCTTCAGAACAAATTTCAGAGGAAATGAATGAGTATTTGATCAACTGTCAAGTTCCTTGTGGGCTTGCTGACACACTTTTTTTTTTTCTCTGAAGAGAGGTGTACACTTGGAAATATATGAGCATTTTTCTATCTTGACTCAGCATCTTAAAGGTACGTTAGCATGGCAATATTTTAGATATGGCAAGGATATGACCTTTCTGAAAAGGTGCAAGCTATTATATGCTGGGAAATAGCACAGATGCTCATGCTGGGAAAGAAAAAGTGAAAAGAACTTGATGAGTAAAAGGCCAGTAAAAGAAGAAAGTGGATGAGCACATCAGTTGGAAAGTTTGACAATAGCAAAATCAGAAAAGCACTTACCCTTTTCAGGGGATCTGCCCCATAACTTAAGTAAGATGGCCTTTATCAATGTTTCATTTAATAAATGAATAGCACCTATCTCTGAATAGTTTTAAAGGGATATTTTAAGATAAATTAGGTAAATAAAGATTTCAGATACTTTATTAAAATATGAAAGACCATTAATGATTCAAAAAAACTTTATCAGAAAAGGATCTGATAAATAAACATAATTCATATATTTAGGATTATTCCAAAATAAACAAATTACAGTAAAAAAAAACAGTTACATCTATTAAAACTTAAACCCATGCTACAAATGATTAAGAAGTATCTAAACACATGCATTTTATTTTGAAAGTCAGCTTTCTGAATTCCTTTACAAGTTAAAAGTGAGGCTTTTACTTCTACAACAGGTAAATGGCCCACAATATGTATTGTACTTCTGTAGCATCCACAGTAAATGCTCAGAAATCAGCCCCTGCCAGTTCACAGAGAGTAACTCTGGCTCTTGGCAGCTCACTAATTATTAACCAGGCTCCACCCGTGAACAGCCCAGAATTGCAGTTTATTAGTTTACAATGACACGCAGTCCTTTCCTCTGAACCATGGACCCAAACCTCTTAAGACAGATATATCTACACACCAGGAACCTCACTTGCCATGTACTTATCACCTTTTATTGTTAGTTTCTTGTTGTTTTAGTCTTACTTTCTCTTGTCTTTTACTGTTTCTTGTCCAGCTAGATAGTGAGCTCCCTGAGCACAGGGACCAGGTGAAAGTTCACTTCTCTACCCCAGTGCCTATCACGTTTGTTCCGTGAATGAATTCTCTGAGCCCTGAAGCAACCCGACATAATCAAATCACAAGAGTCACAGAAACATAAACTGTGAAAAGAAACTACAGATCCCCATCATTGCATAAAATCTTGGCCCTCACTTAGGTTGCAGTCACTTGGGACTGTTAACAATTAACACAACCGTAAGCTTTCCAATGGTCTGTAGGGCTACCTAATGGAGAGACTGCCTCAGCTGAGGAGCCACAGCTGCTGAAGCTTTCCCTTCAAAATGAGGTTCGACATGGAGTAGCAACAACTGGGGCTGACACAGGTAAATGAAAAGAAGGCAAGTCCACTTCATCAGATTCACAATATAATTTCAAATCCTGTAGCATCAACTGTAATAAACATTTAGGACATATCTTAAATTATGGGATTTTTAAACTCCAGCTTGGTCTGTGGGTTTTACTCTCCAACATCAGAGCACTAGGCAAAAAGGTAGCTTTCAGAATTAAACAGAAATTGTTCACTCTTTATCTAGTACTTGTTTTTAGCCCACAGTGGACAGCTTCATAAATCCCAAAGGAGCCTATAACACAATAGCCAGCGGAGAGCAGAATGTCTAATGCAGAACCGCACATGACAAAGAGGAGAGGCACAAACCAGCTGCCTGCCATATAATTAAGCAAGACATTTCAAAATCAGTAGGTATCAAATAATATTTCACTAGAAATGGTGCTTTTGAAAAAAAAAACGGACGATTGTTTTTATTTATATTTGCCAAGAATTAACACTAATCTTTTTTAAAGTATCATGTTTTCAATCGTTTTTCATTTGCAAATAAAATAACTGAAAATAACCTGTGGAAGGACTTTTTTCCAATCCTCATTTCAAAGCTCCTCATTATCCAGAAAGTCCATTTCTGCTTTAGCATTGTGTTAGATGCTTCCATTACAGGGCTAAGATGGTACTAGAAATGCATTTGTAGCTCACTGAACTGTATTATCTACTATATATAAAACAGCATATATTTAAATTATTGAAAATAAAGTACAAGGTGTTTTATTTTTCTTCATGGCGCTTTCAGGAAGACATCAGGATCTCCTCTTCTCCCTAAAGAAAAATAATAACAAAAATCAAGGAAAGATAAACTTACAAGCTATTGAAATTACTGGTTAACTCAAATTTATAATCATAAAATTTCCAGCTGCATAAAGCTCACACAGACACAACGCAACGATATAGCTCAAGGAACTAGTATTTAAAATTGAGTTATAAAGAATGGAATATTCAGCAGAAAGGAACAATTAGCCAACTTGTAAGTTGGAGTTCTATTTCCATTTCTATTATTCATTAATTTAATTTACCACTCGAGTCTCATTGTCAGTTTGTGCTTAAGCCTGGGTCCCTATCCAAAAAAAAAAAAAAACAACAGGATATAACAACTCATTTTCTTTCACCACAAATACTTATTGCTGCAATCAGGCATATCTCCTTCTTCCAAACAAATGATTAACCCCTGTCGAAAGATGAAGGAACAATTATGTATCTAATGGCCCCAGACATTGGCTAATATTTGGTCATTAGCTTGACCCATGCACTAAAATAGCTTTGCTCAGGAGATGTAACAATTCATGCCTGTGGAATAATAAAGTCAACTAATTTCATTTCCTTTGCTACAATAAAGTTTCATTAATTCGAGCACCACAAATTCAGAAATCAGGATTACATGGATCAGGCTAATATTAGCTTCTCCCTCCCTGAAGGGAAAAATATACTTTACTAAGCAAAGGTGAAGGACACCCAGGTGCTCCCTGAGCATCCCACCTTGAACATCATTTGGTTCTAAATTAGTGAAACGAAATGGTACTTACGTATTGGCAAAAGAGAATGGGGAGGACAAGATGGAACGAGAGAGGTTAAATGTTGTGGGCCCATATAATTTTTTACATTTTTGCAGGGTTTTTAAAATTTTTTTACTATAAATTTTTTTATTTTTAAATTACAGTTTACATGGCATATTATTTCATACTAGTTTTATTTGAAGTTTATAGTACAGCATATTTAAATCAAAATATGGGAATAATCCCCACGCCTCTCATGTGATGTGTTGGCTACATGTACTTTCTCATTGCATTTTTCTCATGGTACTTCCTGTAACAATATGTTCATGAACAGGTTGACTCATAAACTGACCTTCCAGACCCTGTCAAAATTAACAGTAGGATGGAGACCTGGGAGGAAAAAGCAAAGGGGACTAAGAAGGACACACTTCCAATTGCAAAAGAAACTATGGAAATGTAAAGTACAGCATAGGGAACACAGTCAAAAATACTGTAGTAGCTAGTATGATGTCACATGGATACTAGGTTTATTGTGGTGATCACTTTATAAGTTAATTCATGTTGAAGCACTATGTTGTACACCTGAAACTAATGTAATGCTGTAGGTCAAACTGCAATTAAAACAAAACTTTAAAAAATTAACAGTAAACCATACCTGTAGTACCTTGTGTACTTCTACCTGAGGACTTCTCAACTGGATACTGCAGCGGTATTACAATGCCTTGATCTGGCTTCTGAAATGCTGAAATTAGATTTTTTATTTTCCGGAAAAATCTTTTATGAACCCCAGGTGCTGTCTGGAAAATAAAAGGCCAAGCAAATTATTCACCTACATCATAATGATACGAAAATCCCTACAAAATGTGTGAGAGATGCTTAGAGAGGTAACATTTGTGTAACTTGTTCAAGTACTTGAAAACATAAAGAAGAAGAAAAAAACATCCCAGAAGACTTTACTTTGGTTGGCTGAATTTCCCTGCAAGAGGAGCTAATGAGCTATCATTTCAGTTCTCCCAAGGGCGGTATCAGTTTGTACAACCTCTTGGTCATTGCCTTGCCCTTCCTGCCTGCTACCCATCATACATCCCAAACCTCTAAGGGTGTACAGGCCATTGCCCAAAATGAATTCACCAACTTAGAAGATACGGTTAAACACAGGAAAAACACAGATTCTACAGGTCATTAACAAAAAGCCTGAAGAACAACAATGACAATAACAAAAACAGCACCACCAACAAAAACATATCCTCCCTGTCATCATCACACAATAGAAAATGCTACAGAGGACATTAAAATTGACTGTTATGATACACACAGTGCATGGCTATTTAGTCCTTATATGCTCGTCTCTCAACGTGCCCTGCCTCATCCTTCACATTAAATTTTTTCCTCCTTGGGAAAGTTCCATATTCTCCCTAACATTACTCTCTCCATTTAACACTTCACAGTGACAAAGTTTCATCTATGACACAAAAATGAAAGATTATATAAGGTCACCCTTATTTATTTGTTTGTTTTTGAAGAGATCATTATTTGCAAGTGACTATTAAAATGTATTCCTTTCCTGACATCAATTCTCTTGCAAAGACACAGCTTGAAATCAATAACAATTTCCTGCAAAGGCTTATGAGCCAAGCTTTAGGCAGAAGCTCAAAAGTGTCATTTTACATGAAATAAAATAGTATTGCTATAAGCAATGGAACAATCAGTAGTTTTTTTAGAAAACTGTTTTTCAGCTTTCCATCTGGAAGATTTTTGAGGTGGGAGTTGTTTGTTAGCATTTAATGAGAAAACATGAAGGCTGGCACACAGACTTCTGCCAAACAGACTAAAAGCTGAAGCTAGTACACTGTCAGTAGTAACTCTCGGTCACTTCCTATGTCAGGGTGAGTAACTTTTCACTGAGAGCACTGGCAAAGTTCTTTTGAGCTTTCAGTTCATAAGTGTCCACTCATAGGCTCACACAACTCGGAGCATCAGTAGCTATAGAGTATAGATCATTCTCGCACTCAGCTCCACCCCTATGGCAAAAACACTTTCCCAGAACTCTACCTCATCCAAAATAACATGGCCATTCTTACAGGGGCCCAATCAGCTCTTCGGCTGCAAGATAAAATCTGCAAATTGCAAAGGCAGGGTGTAGGCACAAAATACCTCCTTATAGCTTCCTTAGAGCCCCATTTTCAAAGCACTTTCCCATTTCTTGCCCCTACTAGTTCCTCAGAGGTGGGCAGTTATTGGCTGATTTGGTTAGTCCCATTTGACAGATTAAAAAATGGAAATACAAAGAGATAATTCAGCTTGCCCAAGGTCCTACAGATGACCAGAGACAGAACTGCCTCGAGATCCCAGGACCTAGTCTCTTGCCTCAGATCAACACTCAACCAAATAGACTGTAGTGAAGTTAGAATCACTAGTCATATGAGGAACTATACACTCCCCCAGGGTGGAAAGATTTCAAACCACACATCTTCTTAGCTGTTCTTGTGGCTTGTAAAATGATTTATCAACAAAAGCAACTTCTTTTATGGGGACTTACAAGCAGTTAACACCTGATTATCCACACTAACAGAGAGAAATAACAGCACTGGATGTACAAAAACAATTTCAATTTGGGATGAATGCTTCATTGGCAAATGGCTGGTCTCATTCATAGTACTTTGCTTAGGTTAGTAGGTAAAATTATTTAGCATCTACTGGTGTATTTATGATCGAACATCCAGAAAAGCCCAAAGGCACTAAAGTTAGCAAGGGGGAGGTTAGTACAGTCACTGCAATGTACTGCTGGCGATGTACACACTAATAAATGATAGGTGACTGTGTAGAATCCTCTGAATTAACAATAGAGCCAAATTTGACTCTGAGTCACATGAGAAAAGTTAATACACTAGGCAATGATAAAATGTAAAAGCCTATCGAAAACTAGAAATTCAAATAAATATTTGTCTTTCATAATTCAGTGGACTCAGTGTTCAGTTTTGTCCCATTCTTTGAAACAAATCTCACACTTATCTAGTTTTCTTGCACAATCTTTGCACAGAGGCTGGAGCACTACCGCCGTGATTTTTCCTGCAGTGTGGAACTACAGCATTATTCCAAAAGCACTGTAAATATCTCTCACTTGCCCAATTTTGAAAATACATTTGCCACAAGAATTGCAACACTGACAACTCCCATCCTGTCACTGAACTCAGCTATTGTATAAATTTTCACATTTTCTATATTGCTATATCTTAGTTATCCGTGGAAACATGTGTTGGATCACAGCTGGTCTTCAATATGCTCTAGAGAAGTTTCTTCCAGTCGGGTGATAGAGCTCTGGGAATAAACACTAGTTTAATATCCACCTTAGCAAAAAACACAACTGAGGAGGCAAATTTAACAGACAGAAGAAAGGCAATGGGCATTGCAAAAATAAATTTAAAGAGTTCTTTTTAAAGCTGTTTTCCCTTTGGAGAAAACACACCAATCTTCTGCTCTCTTGGTGCAGAGAATTACATTATTATATAAACAGGGTCAAAACAGACAACTGCATGAAACAGTATCAATGTTCAATAAGCCCTCTCTTCCTTAACATGATCACAAGCATGTAACAATCTGCATATGATGTGATACTTGAAATGAAAGAAAACAAGTCTGAAGGCAAGATTAGCTAATCCCTAATCATTTAAGATACTTCCCATAAAGAATATTGGTCAGCAGCTGAAGGCTACTTCTCTAGTGAAAAGAGCTATTTCAGGTCAAATATATGTGTAGATATCATATACAACTCTTCATCATAATAAATGAAGTTTAATTTCTTAGTTAATCATCTCTGCAGTAATGCAGATAACTTTTATATACACTAGTATAAATAGTTTGATTCAGAAATAGTATGACTTTTCCTCTAATTAGTATTGCAATGTTAATTATCCTGATATAAAGCAACAGTGTGTTCAGAAACTTGCCCCAATTCATCTCACCAGTTCCAAACATTTGTAATCTGCAATTTGTGCTTTCCGGTGTACTGATAAATTGGTAAAAGTTAGAGCTATTTCAATTTGTTTTAAATCAAGGATTTAGAGTTTCTTAAATACATAGTGATTGAGTTATTAATAGATGTTGATAGTAGCATTTCTGTTTTCAAACAGCTCATAATGAAGCACTCTCATTATAAAAAAAAAGGCTGTTTTAAAGAGTCAGATATCAGAGAAGGCATTTGAGGTCAAAAGTTTCAGTTGTAGAGACCTCTATGTTGGTAATATATAATACACTATCCTCATGCGTAGAAATATATTGATTCCACAGGCATTTCTTGCAATGATACAGTGACTTTCAAATGTTTTCAAAGCCACCAGAACCCATTTTTCTAATGATATCTTACTCAGAGCTCTAGTTGATAAGCAAAATAAAAGAGAACAGCTCAGATTAAAGACAAACTAAAGACCCAAAAGCATATCTGTGTAGGTTCTTCTCTGCCTCTGCAAATCTCCAGGAAAATCCAATGTACCCAGGTAGAAGAATATTACGATTTTGCAGAGCGTAGCTTAAAAACCACTGCAATGTTCCCTCTATCTCTAGTCCACCTCTCCATGTTCCCACTTGGCTCATCTAGGAGTCTTGCCTTCACACAGAGCAGCCCTGCTTACTCTAATACTTGAAAATCCCTCCCTTCTTTGAACTCCTACAGTAATTAAGGTAGCACCTGATTATACACAATGATATTGATGTGTATATTCATCACTCTCAATGTGGGTGAGTTCACATTTTTGAGGGCTTACTATGTTCTAGGTCCCGTGCCTAAGAGCTTTCTTTATATGCATTATCTCACTTAATCTTCAAAATGAGCCCTGTAAATAAGGAACTACTTTTAGCCTCATTCTACAGATGAAGAAATTGGTTCAAAGAAAAGTTAAGTAACCTGCCCAAGTTCACAGACCTATCAGGGAGGACAGTGGACCTGACATGGTGCCTAGATCCACCTGACAGCAAAGTTCAGGCCCTCGCATGGCTATTTAATTCACGTCGTATCTCCTCAAGGGTGTTATAAGCTTTTAGAAAATAATCCCCAATAGCACCAACACTCATATTAGTACCATTCACTAACTAATAGCTGATTTAATTATTTTACACATTCCATATGCTTTCTAAAATTGTACATATTTTTCAGAAGCTTTCTAAAAGTTTGACAGTCTTGCAACTTTAAAAAAAAATCTTTTCCCCAAGGTGATACCACTCCATACAATGGTGGTTGAACAGAACTGGCACCAAAATTCTCTAATGCCTTCTTTTCACATTTTTATTTATTTATTTTTAGAGAGAGGGGAAGAGAGGGAGGAAGGGAGAGAAACATTGATGTGTGAGAAATACAGGTACATCCACTAGTTGCCTCTCGCAGGCCCCCAACCGGAAATCAAACCACGACCTTTTAGTTCACAGGCCAGCACTCAATCCACTGAGCCACACCATCTAGGTCTTTAAAAGCTTCTTAATGATCTATGAACAATTTTGGATTGGAGCTTTAGTGATATGAATCTCAAGAATACTTGGGGAATGTAGAGTTTGACAGCTCTTTTATAAAACCAGCCTAAATTTCAAAGACCTCCTGGATACCCACAGAAGTAAAAATAAATAAAAAAGCTATACCTCAGCACTCCAAGAACCTGTTTCTGTCTGGGACACTCGGTATGTATAAATGTAACCTTGGTACCTGTGAAAGAATAAACTCCATTACTGAAAAATTCCAAACGAACAAACAGATGCTCTCGGTTTTAGCTTAACTATCACATATAAATGTTACATATACTGGGACACACATATATGGCACCATGAATTCATAGGAAGAAAAACCCAGGGAATCTAACTAGCTTGTGTATTATATCCAGCTAATCACAGTTTCCAGTAAGCCTTGTTTATGTTTTCTTTTTGAAAAATATCTGGGAGCTCAGATTTGTAAAGTTATGTCTAATTGAACAGGAAGAAACTTAGAGACCTGTTGTGACTGGTAAAAATCGTGAATTATTCAATAGATTTAATTAAGTGTAGTCTGATTATTTTTAAGTACATATAGAGCCTTAAAGTGGGCCTGACAGCACCTTCTCCAGGACAAGGTACTGTCAGGCCCACTTAAAATAATGGCAATAATAATATTAATTATAAATATAATAAATATAATACTATATTCCTATATTACTATTACTTTATAGCATATTATAAACTAGTAATAACAGAAATTTGAATTAAAAAGAAGTCCTGCTAAAGAAATTGAAAGCAGCTTGTCCTTTCAGATGGGATAAATATTCTCTCTCATTAGTCAGTGTGTATGCATATTGTATATCTATATATTTGATTTCTACTACATACCAAGAGTTTCATATGCTATATTAGTTTGCTTATGCCGCCATAGCAACATACCATAGACTGGGTGGCTTAAACAAAAGAAATTGATTTTCTCACAGTTTTGGAGGTTGGAAGTCCAAGATCAAGGTGCCAGCAACATCGCTTTCATTCTGAGGCTTCTTTTGGTTTGTAGTCAGCCATCCTCTTGCTCTGTGCTCACAAGACTGCTTTGTGTTTGAGCGTGGAGAGAGTGATCTCTGTCTCTTTTTCTTCTTATAAGGCCACCAATCTTATTGGATTAAGGCCCTACCATTATGACCTCATTTAACCTTAAATACATTCTAAAGACCCATCTCCAAATACATCCACACTGGGAGTCAGGCTTCAACATATGAATTGGGGGGGGGCACGATTCAGTTCACAGCATTCCACCACTGGTGCCTCCAAATTCATGTTCTTCTCGCATGCATGCAAAATACATTCATTCTGTCCAAGCAGCCTGCAAAGTCTTAACTCATTCCAGCATCAACTCTAAAGTCCAAAGTTTTATCTCAGTATCATCTAATCAGATTTGGGTGAGACTCAGAATATGAGTCATCCTGTGACAAAATTCCTCTCCAGATGTGAACCTGTGGGACCAGACAGGTTTTGTGCTTTCAAAAATATAATGGTAGGAGAGGCATAAGATAGACACCCCTATTCTAATTCAGAGAAATAGAAAGGAAAAAAGTCACAGTTCCCACAAGTCCAAAACCTCATAAGGCGAATTGCTTGAGATCTTAATGCTTGAGAATAATCTTCTAGGGTTGATACTCTGCCCTCCAGACACACAGGGTGGCCCTGTCACCCCCATAGCTCTGGGGGTTGGCCCTGCCCACTCAGCTCAGTTAGGTTCTGATCCCACCTTTAAAATCCATCTGGGAACAGACTCACCCCCCTGGGCCTGTGGCAGGAGTGGTATCCCCGATGATCTCTGAATTGCAGTCAGGGCCGTTTTTCCCTTTTCTTGAAAGATAAAGCATGTCTGCCATCAAATTGCTCTATTGTCTTGCCCTACTCCTTGTGGTCCAAACTGACAGTGTCTCTGAGGCCTTGTCCCAAACTCCCTTCCTGGTTTCTGCTGAGGTGGTAGTTAACATCATGGGTGATCTCCTTAAGAGTGATTATCTGGCCACACCCTTGGTGTTCTCTCCAGAAGAAGCTTCATTTTTTGTCATAAGGGTATGCTGAGAATTTTCCAAATCTTTAAATTCTGGTTTCTTTTTAAAAAATTTATTTATTTTTATTGATTATGCCATTACAGTTGTTCTATTCCCCCTTCATTCCCCTCCACCCTACCCCCCATCCCCACCATTACCCCCTTTAGTTTATGACCATGTGTCTCAAGTTCTTTAGATTCTATATTTCTTTTTGATTATCAATTCTTTCTTGAATTTATCTGTCTGCCTTTGCATTTAACTATAAGCAGTGAGGAGGAACCAAGGCACCCCTTCAACACTTCACTTAGAAATTTCTCCTGCTAAATATCCAGTTTACAAGTTCTACCTTCCACAAAACATGAGAACACAACTCAGCTAAGTTCTTTGCCATTTATAACAAGGATGTCCTTTCCTCCAGTTTTCAATAACATATTCCTTATTTCTATCTGAGAACGCATCAGAAAGAATTTTAACATTCACAGCTCCACCAACATTCTGTTCATGGCAATGTAGGCTTTTCTTAGTGCGCACCTCCAAACTCCTCTAGCCTCTACCTATTGTCCAGTTCCAAAGCCACTGCCACATTTTTAGGGGTTTGTTACAGCAGCATCATACTTCTTGATACCAAAATCTGTATTAGTCTGCTCAGGTTGCCATAGCAAAATGACTGAAGCAAAAGAAATTTATTTTCTCAAAGTTCTGGAGGCTGGAAGTGCAAGATCAGGGTGCCAGCAATATGGGTTTTATTCTAAGGCTTCTTCTCCTGGCTTGTAGGCAGTCATCTTCCTGCTCTGTGCTCACATGACCTCTTCTTTGTGTATCAACATGGAGAAAGATATCTCTTCCACTTCTTATTATAAGACCACTCAGAAATAGGCCAGGCATTGAAGGACAAATACCATATGATCTCACCTTTAACAGGAAGCTAAATAACAAAATAAACAAGCAAATAGAATAAAAACAAAGACACTAAAATAGAGAACAAGTGGGCAGCGACCAGAGGGGAGAGGGAAGGGAATTTAAGGGGAAAAACGAGGAGGGATTTTAAAGAACAAGTATGAAAGACACAGGGATGAGGTCTGTGGGGGGGGGGATGGGAGGGAGGTGGGGAGACGGGGTGGAGGGGGGGGTTGGGATGGGAGAAATTGACAAAAGAAAACTGTACTTGAAAAATAACTCAATAAATTTAAAAAAAATAAAAAAAAAGACCACTCATCTTCTTGGATTAGGGCTCCACCCATATGACTTCGTTTAATATCAATTGCTTACTAAAGGCCCTATCTCCAAACACAGTCACATTGCGAGTTAGGGCTTCAACATATGAATTTGACAGGAACACAATTTAATCCATAGTACACTTATTATCTCTTCTGGACCCCCTGACAGTCTTATGAGCTTTATATTGTGAAATTCATTTTACAGGTGAGGGAACTGAGACCTTGAGAAGTTAAGTAATCAAAGCCACAGTAGAGATCAAGCAGCAGAGAAGGATTTCAATCAGGTCTATTTAACTCTATAGTCCCGGCTCTTAATACATGACTTAATTTGCCTAATAGATTTTACTTCACATAAAAGTAAAGTAAACTTTATGCTGAATTATTTCAAATTATGAATCCGAATCTGGATCAACAGAGTTTTAAGGCATTTTGTGATTGTTCTTTTTAGGCACAAATTTGGGCCAATATAGATCTTTGGTTAGAATACATGCTGAATTGAGATAAAAATAAATGTGTTTAAACCTAAAAGAACAGATGATTCTAAAGCATTCTAAACAGAAGGTCATCCTTAAGTAACTGACCTCATTTACCATTAACCACCTTTAAAACTAAGTCTTTAAATATGTGGATTAAATGACTATATATTTAATCAGTATCCATCAGTACCGATTACCTACAGTACAAAAAAAAACCCCACTCTAATCAGATTCATACTATTTGTAAACCCTCCCCCTCCCCAAAAAGATCAATGGAATTGCTGGTGTGATTACAAGCAATGTTTTATTTTTGTTACAGAGGTTTGTCAGAACATTTAGATCATATATAAAATAGATCATATGTAAAATTTGCCTATGTGGAGTATGCTAAATAAATATAAAATATTACATCGTTAAAGTCCTTTGTTTTTCTAAGCAATTGAAATCTACCTCAAAGCCCACTGATTTCAGTAAGCACTCCATAGGGAACAAGGCAAGAGCTTTGCTTTCCATTTTTCACCAGGGGAACTCAAACCTAAGGCTTGAAATGATTACCTTAAAGTCACACGGCAAAATGGAGATATAAGCAGGGAAATAGGTCCTTAGTTCTATTTTCCCTCTGGGAAGTGATTAATGGCAATAATTCAGTACCATTAAAGGTGATGAGGAAAGGTATTATTTAAAAATCTCAGCAAAAATGAAAGCAAAATTCTAAGTAACTGGTTTTCCACTTTCTAAAACAGTGGGTCTCTTAAAAATACAATGAACTATCTCCCTACTATCATTCAACCTCATTTAGTCAAAATAAATGAGTCTGTTTTGAAAATTGTTTCCTAACGAATCTGATCTTATCTCACTTTCAGTTAAGCAGCAGGAACTCGAGTACCACTTCAAAAGTCCTTACCTCCTTCAGTCTCTGAACAACCTGGTGTCAGTGACACATAAAATTTCTTGTGATTAACTCATCTAATATTAACAATTTCCTACTCCCCAACGCCTCAAATTTCTGAATGAGCAAAATTCTTTCACCCTTTACATAAGCCAGCAGTTTATCTCTTCCACTTTCAACTTGCTGAAGTAACTGACCAAGGAGGGATCTCCTATAGTCAACTCCAGCTATCCTATGGCATAGATGGAAGAGAACTAAAACAGTGAGATTCCAATTATGTTCCCATGGTAACACCATTGGTATCATTTAGGTGCTTGTTGGAAATGTGGAATCTAGGCCCTACCCCAGAACTGCTGGATTAGAGTCTGCATTTTAGCAAGATTTTCAGTGTGGAGAAAAGGGAACCCTAGTACACTGCTGGTGGGAATGCAGATTGGTGCAGCCACTGTGGAAAACAGTATGGAATTTCCTCAGAAAACCAAAAATGGGACTGCCTTTTGATTGAGAAATTCCACTACTGTGATTATACCTTAAGAAACCTGAAACACCAATTCAAAGAAACCTATGCACCCCAATGTTCACAGCAGCAC